CCTTTCCAGAACAGGAAATAGGGTGTCAGAAAGGTGGAGGTTTCTTTTCCTAACCGTCAGACAGTCTGACCTCCTTAGGAGTTTGACCCCATGAGGAAGACTAAAGCACAAGGCAGTCTTGGGATGTCTTCACCAGAGCTCATCTCCCCTCCCTACCCCACAACCACATGCATCCACTTTATTCAAGATTGCTGCCAGGTGAAAACAGAGGGAATGCCATTCCTCAATCAGAGATGCTGGGAAGGGCACACATGTGCAGAACCTTGGCCTACAGAGGGGTCATGGAAAAGGGAGAAACAGAAGAACTGCTACACATTGATCTGGAAGCACAGAGCATGAACCACCTGGGGTTTTCACCACAGTGGGGCTCAGGATGGCATCAGAGACAAAAAAAGATTTGGTTTAAATTGTAAAGCTGTCATGGTATCATCATGATGGTGTGATAGTTTTAGCAAAGTTTCACTAGATAAACTCAGATTTAAATATGTGCGTTATTTTAAATACTCTTACAGGAATCATAACTGCTTGTAATTTCCAGTATGAAGAATAAAAGAGATTTAGGTGGGAACCAACTATTCATTACACTGACTTTTCTTCCTAGGAGAACTGCAATCCCTTTTGCCCAAAATTTAGCACTTAGAAGATAATTTACAAGTGTTCAATCTGTTCTCTCCTGCTGCTTTTGCCATTTTTCCGCAATATTTGAAAAATGCTCTTTATTAAAAGCTAAGTTATCAGGCGTGGCTATTGCTTCCCCAAACCATCTCTCCTTTCTGATTTGTTGCCTATATCAACGAGGGAATTTAAAGTGATCTAGGCTGTACCTCCATTCTACTAATATGGTGCAAAGTTGCTTCAAAACAACTGCTGTTCTGCAGCTGGCCTTTTCTCTTGCCCAGTTTTCACCCCAAAGCAAGGGAGCTGAGGGGGAGATGCCTAGAGAAGCAGAATTGTGCTCTGCATCACTGCCCAGTGGTGACGGGCCTCTTAATGATAATAATAATAACCCTGCTCCAAAAGCAGGACTCAGACCAGACCCTGTCCTGGAAAGGTCTCCTGCCCCACCACCTCCAACACAAATATGCACCATCCAGGGTATGTGTCCACAGGCCATGATGGACAGACCCCAACTTCTCTGCCTCTTCCCTGAGCCACCCAGGTCCAAGGCCACTCTAAGCTCATTTCAGCTTCAGCAGTTGCTAAAAGGCTGTGCATCATCACTGGGCACAGCATGGTGCTGAGTGATCTCTGCAACTCATGCCTGGCACTGGAGCACATCCCACCACCCTGGGAAAGGGATAGAGGGGAGCTTGTGTTGCCATCTGCACACACGTCCTACCTCTGAATGCAGACTGAGCACACTACACCTTCATGCAGACAATGCAAAACAAGGTTGCTTGAAGCTTTCTTCATTCCTTTCTTTCCCTTCTTCTTCTGTTATTGGTGACATTTACAAATGGGTAAGTCTGAAGCCAACCGAGGGATAAAACATTGTGAAGAAACAATACTCTGCTAGATTTATCATTCATTTGAGAAATCTGCTTAATGACCACAGATCCTGACTGTGAAAGTGTCTAAGCAGGCAAACCCCTTGCCCATGAGGAGTTCTGTTGAAATGAAGAAGGACCAAGTACACTGTGGACTTCATTTAAAGGCAAAAGCTTGTAGAAATGGGGCCAAAATACAGACTCCCGTATGTGTACAGATACATATATATATATGTATGTACCTATGTGTATATATACACGTATACATATATATACACTCACACTCTAGAGGTACCTTAACCTGGAGTCACCCAAACTAGTATTATTGAGGTTTTCCTTTTCAAATCTGTGACAAGAGTGTGATGATGGAAACTTAATAAAATTTCAAAAGCCCACAAGCATCTTCAGTGAAAAGGCTTTTCACATCATCTTTGTACTGAATGTACAGTATTAAAAAAAATCATTTTAATAGCTGACTCCTTATAAATGATTAATGTATTGTATTGCACGTAAGTGCTCTCCTGTTTCTAGGAACATCTAGTTGGGTAATATTCTCATTTGTGATTCATATACATGTTCTTTTATAATTACAGTGAAACAACAGTTTCTGAGGAAGTGGTTTTTAAAAGTATGTCGAGTGCTACAGGAAGAGATCAAAGTATAATAAAACTTACATGAAAGCAAAAATTGTGCATGAATAACAGCACCAGCTTTAACAATGGACTGAATAAACACATGTAATTCTAAACAGGATGGACTGAATTTTTCATTCTAGCAATCACTTGCAGAAGGCTACATTTAAATGAACGGGCTGAGCAGATAAGCTTGCACGTATCGCCATAACCACTTGCTTCAAAAATATATACATATACGTGCCTGGGTTTCCATCGACAGGGAAACTCTCACTACAACATGTCAACACAGATCTTTACACATAGTGTTTGGGATCCTATAAACAGAGTAAATGTACACGTAAAAGCAGCCTCAGCAAATAGCAATGACTAAACCAGGCAACCTTCATTTCAGTGAGCAGAGAGACAGCCAGAGCAGCTGGAATGTTCATATCCTGGTATCATCAAGAAGCAGAAAACAACTGCAAAATGTGCCAGATACAGCACATCAGGATTTAGTCACCTGTTGTTTTGCTTTAGTGAGGAAAGACACTGAAGCAGTGGCTGTGAATGACAATTTGCTTGGCTGTTTGAAATAAAAGGAAATACTTTCTGTAAGCATGTGGTAAGCAGAGCACTGAACAACTCTAACAGCAGATCACCCCGAACTTAAAAGCAAAATTCCTCACTGTGACTACAGTACTTCTGCTATTGCCTGTGCAACCCCGGTCGGGACTGTGAATCTCACCTGCCAGTGCTAAAAACTACACAATAAATGGGTTTCCAGCTTAGCCATCTGCATTTGGAACCAAATTGTTCAGCTGCAAGGCTTTGGCATTTATCTTAGTAAAACTAAATTGCAAGTGCAGTGATCAGCCAATGAGCAGCAGTCTTTGTGGAATTACTCAGTCATACAGACTGATGACAGAACACGCAGGTTAGCTTACTGCTTCCCAAATATCAAATAAAAATCAAAACTGAAGAGGACAGCCTAAGTCTGACTTAAACAATTGAGGCAATGAGCACAGAACATGTCAGAAGTAAAGGGTTTTTTCCAGAAAATTATACAGCTAGAATACAAATTATAGATTGGTTCAGAATAGAAGAAATGCAGTAAATAGCATATTTTACCTATACAAAGTTTATTTTTGCGTAATTGTATTGAAATGCAATGCTTTGAAGGCAATATCCAAGTATCACAATGCTCCTTTAATACAGAGGTATATGGATCTTACTTTGCCAAAATAAACTAGAGAATAATCTTTGAAGCTTATATTGCCCTGAGATTTCTGTATAGCCTCTTGCAGAAATACTACTAACCTGCAATATGATGTGAGAAAAGTAGCAACGAAGAAAGTTTAGACTGAATGTCTTTCTTCATTCCCAGGTGAACAGAAAGCTTGTGTCCAAATATTTCAAAAAAGTCAGTACAAGGGAGTGACAGGTATTAAAGACACTCCCTACCTTCCCCAATTACATGAACTACCAGACTGAAGAAATAAAACTTTTTTTTCCCCCTGTGGGATGTAATGGCACCTTAAAACCTGAAGCATGAAGGTCATGAACTGAATTAACTCAAAGGCAAAAAAATAATTTAAAAATCCAGTACCAATATTAATACCACAGTTTAAAAGGACATAATCATTACGAAGTCTTTGTAATTGTTTGCATATATGAAGAGCTTCAGGGGGGTGGAAAATGTGAAAGATTTGCTCTGATGCTGACTGTAGTAAAATTTGAAGTGCCTTGTAATCCTTGGATGTCTTGCAAGGCCCTGCCTGAGCGACCAGCTCCTGGGAGAGACACACAGGCAGGACTGTCCAGGTACATCTCAGCTGCACATGCCAGGAGCCCTGCCAGGTCCCTGTGCATGTCCCGAGCTGCCACTCAATGGCATGTTGTGTCGGGGCAGAACCTGCTGGGACCATCCCCGCACCCTTCCCTTGGACTGCACTGGGGGAAAATCCAGAAACACCAGCAAAAAGAGAAGCACGGTGCATTCAACAGGCTCCTTGGTCTGGACAGTGGAGGGACCAGGATTGCTAGCAGCACAGCAAAAATTACCTGCCGCGCTGCCTGCACCCAGGCTGGGAGATGCGGGGCCTGTTCTGACCACTGCTGTGGGTTCACAGGTAAAGGATGGCATATTCCTGTATTTCTGTCTGCCCTCTTGGATGTCCGCTCTCACCCATCATGAGTGTGGTCAGCAGGATCACTCCCTCACCGTGTCTGCATGCTAAGCGACACCAGCGCTGCCGGGGCTTTCATGCTCTACTGTTCTACAGTAAGAACAGTGAAGGTTTTCTGCTGAGACAACAGTCAGTACAAAGCACTACCAGAAAACCCCCAAGCAAAAGCCATCCCCAACAACAAAAGAGAATTCAGGGTGCACAAAACAAGTCCATGCTGTTAACAGTTGTGTGAATAACTTAACAGCCCTTTTCTACCTCTATCCTCTGTGCAGTAGTACCAAAAGGTTTTAAGAAGCACTCCAAACGCCTGAGCCTGACTCTAAGAGGCTAAAACTCTTAACAGAAATTGCATATGGAATTCATTTTCTTTCATAAGCTTCAGAAACACATTCTTTGAAATCCCCAGTGCTCTTCCATCAAACAATGCGGAGGTGAATAAATGTAGCAAAGACCAAAGGTATTACGGGGCAGAATCTTCTGTGCTTTTCATTGCATTGTGCAGGCGTTTGCATCTGTACCATAAGTTCAAAGCCTGAATAGAAACTGTCACTGTCTGACAAAGACTTTGCACTCTATCAAAAAGCACTTATTCACATTTTCAACAGTATTTTTTTCTCTCCAAGAAAAAAGTTTTCAAACATAAATCATATTTCTCAAAGCCACTGCCAGTACCCAACTGCTCCCCACGAAGACAGTTAACTGCACCCTACCCGTAGAAATGATGCTCCTCCGATCGCCTGCTCTGTTCCCTGCTTCTTCTGCCTCAGAGTGCTCAGATCAGATCCTGCCCCAGAGAAAAAGCAGAGTCAAAGGCTTGGGATACTCAGAGCCAAATCCTGGAGTCAGGCTGCAGGAGGATCAAGGAGTACTGGGCTGAAGCAGCATGGAAGGGAGACATATCAAAGGGCACTATCGCTCAACCATCACGCACAGGTAATTGAGAGCACCTTAATTCGAAACTGCTGGTCACCATCTGGTGATAAAATAAGGAGACACCAAGGGAGTTAAAGCAAGCTTGCACATACCGGGATATTCTACTTACACTTCATAATGAAACCCATTGTCACCTCCATTCATACTGTCAAGTCTTTCCCACTTTAGCAGTTTAATACGATTTGTGTTAGCTTTGTCTCTCCTTCACTTCAGTTACAAGCTGATTTCGTCTTTCCAACAGATTGCATCGCACACGCACATAACCTTCCAATTCAAGACACTTCTAACATGAAAGGGTGTTAAGAGTAGCTGAGACCTGCAAAGTTGTGACACTCCTAAACACAGGCACAAAAGACAGCTATTGGGATGAGTCTGTTAAACAAGGCAGAGTTAAAGGGTTAAAAAAAGACAAGAGTCTGGCTCTCTCCCTACTACAGGACTCTTAAGTGCGTGTTTATGAATCCTGGGACAGTGTCAAAATTAGGCCTAGCTGACCATTAAGAGTGAATAATTTCCTAACACGGTGAGATGTTTTAAATACATGTAACTGTAAACACCTGAAGTGTTCTGCTTCTAATTATTTTTGCTACATATGAAATAATTGAGGAAAATGTGTACGATATCTTTAATTTGTTAATTACCAGCTGGCTCCTACCACGCATTATTAAGCTACTATGGCAGTGACTAATGCTTCTGACAATACTAAATTACCAACACCTTGTGGAGAAATGTGACCTGAGCAGCCTAGAAAGGACTAGCTGCAGGTGTTTATTTTCAGATAAAGATGGTTTATTAACCCAGGCATAAGACAACAAACATTAAGTACCACAGGCACAAGTCCTGAGGAGGATGGCTGAACCCCAAGCCCTGCATGCTGCCCATTCTGTGGGGACTGCCAAGCCCATGGCTGGGGTAACATGGACACCTGTATCTCACACTGCACATGGGACAGATCTGGAGAAGCAAGAGAACCCAGGAATTCTCTCCAGTGGTGTTTTACATGTGGGCTCTGCAGCTACGGCCACCTGCTCATGACTTCATCTGGGGCACTGGATATGCAGAGGCAGTGCCGTACCATGCACTGGTGTTCAGGGCTCCTCCACTTCCAGCCTGTAGTTCCAAAGGCTACATGCCCACACTCGTGTGGTTTCAGAGGCTCAGTATCAAGTGCAAATCTGTGCACTCAAAAAGGGCCAGGCCTAACGCCATTCCTTCACACATTTCAGTAATTCCCTGACGTGAAGCACACGAGGCAACTCTTGCTGAAGCAAAAGCAGGCTGGAGCCAGCCCCTTCACCGTGCGAAGGGCAGGGCTGCTCAGCTGCAACGGACACCAGGCAAGGAGTCTGGGGGTCTCGGGGATGGCAGGGACTTTGCATGGAGGGAAGATAAATATGAAGGAAATATGACTGCCCATTAAAGGTTCCACTACACAGTTGCAGCCCAGGCACAGCCCTTTTCCTCTCACCTCTGAATATAAGTCTTTTTATTATTTCCTCTTTTTTAAAGTCAAAGCACTTTTTGCCAAATTGATTAGATTAATAACATTATAGCTTGGACAGGAACTTACACGTCTTGGTACTAAGTGTATGAAATAACATTACTCTCCTTTCCAAATCCTCCTGTAGTGGTTAGGAAAGCCAGTCTTCTCTTGTGCAGCTGCATTATAAAATCGCTGAACAAAACTATTCTGCTGTAACAGGAAGGGACACATTTTCTTCTCTACTGTAAGTAGGTCAATGAAAACATGATGTTGTGAGGAAGACACTGTTTTTTTCTCTGTCTTCTTCCCCCTAATGGCAGTTTCAAATCATTCTGATTTAATTACATTTCTAGTGTTAGCTATAGTAACACTGCAAGGTTATTAACAACTGATATATTGGTGTTCCTAAAGTCTGGAGTTTGTGCTTCCTTGCAGGCTTATTCTAGCCTCAGGTATACACATGCAATTCCTATACAGAGCATGTCATTGGACAGCTAAGAAAAGCCTGCAAAGAAATCTGGATGTGAAATGCAACAATACATTATGAGGCACAAAATCTTAACTCTCAGCTCTGAGATTCACACTGAGTTTTAACATCAATGTGATCTCTTTTTGAGGATAAAATTCTATCATCTACTCTAAATCTAAAGTATCTACACTGTGAACAGTGAACTTGCTCTGAATTAATACTGGCATTAACAAAGCCAGAGTATTTTTGTTATTGATGTCAGTGATGTTATTAATTTGAGTTGATGACTTTTGGAGATTTGATAAGGAATGATTAGGACTAATCAATTAAATGGAATCTCACAAAAATATTGGTTTTTTTGTAGAAGATAGTGGTGTAATGGTTTAAGTAGTCACAGAGACGTTGTGCTTAGTTTAAAGCAACCATACAACCAGTTACGCTGCTGGACAAGGTACCATTGTTAGACTGTTTGGTAAGCATGATTTATTGCCCTGTGGACCACGTGTTTTAAAAGCTGTACTGTGAAAGGGCCTCAAAGCATGTTAAAATTGCCATGTGAGCCAAAGTCCTTGAGTCAAGGGCACTGGGAGGTCTTTCTTCTGAGTTGGTAGCCTGTGGTGGTCAGAAAAGCAGCCCTCCGACTCATTTCAGGACTCAAGGGCGCATAACCAGAAAGAGGTGGAAATATGAAAATGAGTTACAGGAGTTAGCATGATTATATATGAGAACTTGATTAATATGTATTACTGTATCCAATATAATCAGCATGTTACACGAATTAGGTGTGCGTTGTTTGTGAGACGACTCCCCTGCACACCTGGCCAAACACCCGGCCATTAATAAAGGAGTGTCTGCTTATCTACATCACATTGGTGTCATTAAGTTCTTTTATCCTGTTTTGGTGACATTTTCAGTGAAAGTTTTCAAATTCATAGCACCTGGAGACTTTTCTGTATGCATTTCATCAGAAGAAACATTTAACTTGAAGTCATAGCTATCTAAATACTAAATGTAAATTAAAGGCCATTAGCAATAAAAAAGACATTCTGGGGGAGAACCCCCTCCAAAAACAGAAAAAGGAAAAAAACCTACATTACACTAAAGAGAATATAGAATGCCTAAAGTCTTATCAAATAAAATTTAAAAAACAAAAATAGGTGTTGCTTTTTTACTGACTGACTCTATTTTAGAACAGATGGTGTAAACTAGTTTTGTTGACATCTGAAAAAAGGAAGAAGTAATTAATTCACCTCACATAATGCCTGTTGTAAACTCTCACCCACACAGGCACTCCAAAGGCCCTCTTCTGCAACCGAATGCTTGCCATAGCAAAGGTTACACGCTCTTACAACCCACTCCTTACATCCTCATCCTGAAAACAACAGGGCTGCCTAGGACAGTAAAGCTAAGCACATACAAGTGGACACCACTGTCCTCAGCATGAAATTTTTACCCTATAAAACCCCATGACTTCAAAGGGGACTCGGATTTCATCCTAAGAATCCAATTACATGTTTCAAATTTAGGATGGATTGTCAAGTGCCAGCTGACAGAGTGATGGTCCCAAGTATTTCAGGACAACGACATTTGAGCTGAAATGCAAAGCCAGCTGTTCATGCCGTAACCACTTACCTAAGGAACATTTCAAAATGCGGAAATTATATGATGATTAAGTGCCTCTGCACCTCAGCAAAACGCATCCCACTCTGCAGAGAGATCTTTCCAACCAAAATTTAGAAAACATGTCTTTCATTAAGAAAATAATTCTATGTGCAGTATTATCACCAGTATCATCAAGTCATAAGGATGGTTGAAAGATATGTAATCCACCTCCCACTGTGAGATAAAGTCAGATTCACTTCCCTTTTGTTTACTAAAGCCATTCCTAACACCTCCATCGATAGGAGACTCCCCAACTGCCACTGACAGCCTATTTCAAGGATAACATTTTCCTAGGTTTTACCTCTTCTTTCTTGCTTCTCTTTAGACCCATTTCTCTTTGTCTATGGGCACAGAGAAGAAATTACTGGCCTCCTCTTTGCAACAGACTGCTTTGGGCTATCTGGGCCTCAAAAGCTGCCTGTTTCCTACCCACTCTCCAGCAAGCTGCTCTTCCTGAGGCACTAAAACCATAAATGTTTCAGGTTTTTCTCCTGAGGCATGTCCTCTGGATCCCTGGTCATTTCTACTGCCCCCTCCCCTTCACTTCCAAAGTGGCCAGCATTTTCTTAAAGAGCAGTGATGCAAACTGAACACAAGACTCCAGATGAGCATTCATCAACGTGGAAATTGCTCCCTTCGGGCTCTACTTCCATATGCATTCCAATATCGTGCTTTTCTCCTTTCTATCGTGCAAAGCTCTACATTACCAATTCATGTTCAATTAGAGATTCACAGTAAGCCTTATCCTCAAATGCTGCTGCCTCACCAGTTGTTTCCCAGCCTGTATTGGTGTCAAGAGCTACCAGCACAAAGCTCGGCAAATCCTCTGGAGCTACATACCACCTCTGCTGGCCTCTGTGTGCCTGGTGAACCAAGCGTGCCCTTGCGATGCTGCCTCACGAAAGGCACCGAGTTGTGTGTAGTTCTTAATTGGCACACAGTGAAAAATACTACAAATCCAGCAAGGACCAGGCCAATATTTGCATAACCTTCCCCTCTTTTTATTTGCCTGCTCTATCCATCAGGGGCAGGGTGGAAAAACAATTAGGACTATTTCTTTCAAGGCTGAGATATCAAATTTTATTTCCTTGTTCTATATTGAGTCTGCCAGTACATGTAGTCATGCCTAATACAATCCCAAGCAGTCATCTACGATAGTGTACCACAGAAAAAGGATAGGACTAATGACCTATGAAATAGGTATGGACAGACCTGGCTAGGCTGAGGTTGCATTCTG